TTATCTTTCCCTAAGTCATTAGTGAAAAACCTTTAACCTTCTACCCTAATTTCAATTTCCATTCAAATTAGTTTTGAGGTTAACCATTCAATTATCAAGAACTATTCTGGTTATCATAGGATTACCATAGTCCTAGGTGAAATCATCTATAATATCATTATTTATAAAACCTTAACACGGTCGTCTGGCTCTAATGTGTTAATAACAGTGAAACCCTATGGTCCCATAGGGTAAAACTATAAATTCTTCTAAACAATCAAATTGATGCATAAAAGCTGTTATATTGAATAAAATAAAGAGATCAGTATTCTTAACATTGCAAATCAGGGACACCACCCTAGCATTATGGGTTTTAGCCTCTCATAGAATTAAAAAGTAAAATAACACATATATTAGATGTAGATATTACAATAAATTTGGATGGCTCGATCTTCAATCGCTGTCGCGCATGAAGAGTTCTCTGTTCCCAAAGCTCGCCTGGATCTCCAGTCTTCTATCGTGAAATTATTCAATCATTCCAAAAAGAAGTCCATTTTTAATTCTCCACATTAGGTATTTATAGTACTCGGTCATCCCTTAACAATTCAAAATATCCAAAGTACCCTTAATGCTCCAAAAATACCTAAACTGTCAAAATTGGAATTTCTAGCACCTGAGCTGACACAGGCCGGGTCACCAGACACGGGCACTCGTTCTAGCATATGTGATCTTCTATTTTCTAACATTTGGTCAAGTTGAATTGACACGGTTTGTGTCAGTGGACACAGACACTCGTGTCAGCGCTTGTGATCCTTCCTCCAAAAGTTCATGCTTCAGCTGACTTGACACGGGCCGTGTCGTGTGACACGGGCTCCCGTGTCGCCTTCTGTCTTGCTCCAACTTCACTTTTTCCAAGTCCTCCCCCTAACACAGCATGTGTCAGGCGACACAGCCACCGTGTCAGGGCTCCTGAAGCACTTCTTTCAGAACTCTGAATTATGCATTTTTCTGCCCCAATTTATCATGTTTTATTCTTTTGAACCTTAAAACACTAAAATACACAATCAAAGCATAAAATGTGATAAAATGAAATGAAACACCAGTCAATTAAAAGAAACGATAGTTAAAATAAATTCATAATTCTTGTGTAAAAACTAATGATCAAGTATTCATCTAGAAGACTGAGGATGAAACTTTTGAGAATTTCAAAAGTTGGAAGACTCTGGTCGAAAATCAGACTAGCAGAAAGGTCAAGAGGTTGAGAGCCGAAAATGGCGTTGAATTTTGCATTGAGGCGTTCGAAAGTTTTATTCATCCTCTGGTATTGCAAGGCACATAACTACTGCATGTACTCCCCAACAAAATGGTTTAGCTGAAAGTTTTAATCGAACCATTTTTGAAAGAGTTAGATGCATGTTGACTAGTGTTAGATTAAAGAAGGTGTTCTGGGAAGAGGTTGTTTCGAAACCAACATATTTGATAAACGGATGTCCTTCGACTATGAAGTCACTTGGAAAAATTTGTTCGGGACATGCACAGATCTCGACAAACTTAGAGTATTTGGCTGCATAGTCTATGCTCACATTAGGCAAGACAAGGTCGAACTTAGAGCTCTAAGATGCATGTTCGTGGGATATCCTGAAGGAGAAAAAGATTATAGGCTATGGTGCCTAGAGCCAGGTCACAGAAGGTGTATCACTAGTTGAGATGTAGTTCTCAATGAAGTTGAGATGGCTTTCAAGAAAACTGATGACGTTGGTCAAAGTGCAGAGATATATGAAGAAGAGTTGGAACAAGAAGAGATTTTTGCTGAGAATGAGCATGTCGATGTTGAATTGCGTATCTCAAATCCAGTCGAAGAATAAGCACAAGATGTTGAAGATACTGATGAAGTTGAGGAAATTGTCGATGACTACCTGTTGGCAAGAGATAGGCCAAGAAGAGTCATTAATCCACCTCAGAGACTTGAGTATGCAGATCTCATAGCTTATGTCTTAATTTATGCAAGTGAGGTTCTAGATGAAGAACCTGGAGACTATAAGAAAGTTATGAGGAGTCGAAATAAGACTGAATGCATGAAGGCCATGGATGATGAGATGAAATATCTTCATGATAAACACACTTCGGAACTGATCAAGAAACCTGCTAAAGCCAGGTTAGTCAGTTGTAAATGGATTTTTAAAGTTAAAGAAGGAATTGAATGAGTGACATCAAAAAGATACAAGGCAAGATTAGTCGCAAGGGGTTTCACTCAAAAAGAAGGTGTTAACTTCAATGACGTGTTCTCTTCTTTTGTGAAGCACGTGTCTACTTGAATGTTACTTACCATGGTGGATAGTTCGACCTAGAAATGGAATAAATGGATGTGAAGACTGCTTTCTTGTATGGAGATCTAGATGAAACAATCATAGTGAAGCATCATGAAGGGTATGCAAAAAAGGGAAAGGAAGATTATGTGCGCAAGTTGAACATATTATTATATTTTCTGAAACAATCTCCTCGATAGTGGAATAAGAGATTCGACAAGTTTATTACACACATAGGTTTCATTAGAAGTCAGTACGACCACTTTGTTTACTTCAAATTTCGACCTGGAAATTCACTTGTTATTTTGTTGTTTTATGTGGATGATATTCTCATATCAAGCAACAATATTGAGGATGTAATAAAGGTGAAGTTTAAACTCAATAAGGAGTTCGACATGAAGGATCTGGAATCTGCATCAAGGATTCTTGGGATTGACATCCGAAGAGATAGAAAGAACTCAAAATTATGCTTATCTCAAGAGGCATACCTACGGAAGATTCTCGACAAGTTTGATATATCGAATTCAAAGCCTTTTCCGACTCTGACAAACCCTCAATAAAAGCTGAGTATAGATCAATGTCCTAGTACTGAGGTAGAAAGAGCTTATATAAATAATATTTCATATGTTAACATAATATGTTCTTTGATGTATGTTATGGTATGTACTAAATCAGACATAGCATATGCAGTAAGTCTTGTAAGCAGATTACAGGGCGAATCTTGGAAAGACTCACTGGCAAGCATTGAAGTGGATTCTAAGATACATAAATGAGTCTCTAAACAGAATCTTAATTTATGGTGGAGCCTGTAGTGAAGATAGTAAAGCAGTAATCGAAGGGTATATCGAATCTGATTATGCAGGTTGTATGGATTTTAGAAAATCTAATTTTGGATATGTGTTCATTATGTTTGGTACAACAATCAGTTGAAAAGTGATACTTCAAAAGTTGTCGCCTTATCAACCACTGAAGTAGAATATATTTTCCTCACTGAAGTTATGAAAGAAGCATTGTGGCTTGAAGGTTTTGCTAAGGAGCTGGAACTTCAAAGTCGAGTTATCACTATTAAATGTGATAGTCAAAGTGCAATACACTTGTCGAAGAATTCAACCTATCATGAGCGAAACATCAATGTGAGGCTGCATTCGCCGGAGGGGCAATGGAGCGTGGAGAAGTCCAAGTGTTGAAGGTTTCGACTTATCACAATGTTGTTGATATGATCACCAAGACATTGTTAAATTACATGTTTTTCCACTGTATGCAGTTGATAAAGCTACATGAACAAAACTAGTTTATTCCCTGATGTTATAGAGTTTGTTCTAAGGTGGAGATTTGTGAAATATTGGACCGAACTCTAGTATTGTCGAAGGTTAACTTCTTGGTTCGACAATTCCACAGGATCTAAGCAGAAGGTCGAAGCTGGTTCGCATGTTGGGATCGAAGACTTGCAATGTTGTAGTCGAAATATATTCAAGTATAAAGTAGTTGAAATGTTAGGATTGTTAACATGTCGAATTGGGTCTGCTTGTTATGCCCAATTGTTTAAGTTAGCTTATTTCCTAAGTTAGCTTGTAATGAGTCTGTGTGTAAAAATCCATTAGTTTAGTGTGTTAGTTTTATTATAAATAACATATTAGTCTCTCATCATTACAATACTGCAAATCCTAATTAGGGTGAGAGAGGTTATTTGTTATTTTATAACACTCGTAATCTTGTTTCTAAGAGAAAGTAAAGAATAGCCGTTTATAACCAATATTATTGTTTTTTTTTTCTACCCTCATGAATTTCTTACCGTTAAAGAAACTTGTTATACTCTGTTCTTAATTTCGTTTTTTCACAACATAATCAAACTTCGAATCTCTCTTAATATATTCTCACTAATATTTCGATCTACATGAGAAACAAAAAATCTCATCAATGTATCATTTCTAAGCAAATAAGATAACCATATCACCAAATCCTCCATGTTGACAATCAAACCTGAAAAAATAAAATTATTTCGAGATTTTAAAAGATACTACACCACAGACAGGATGACAAACTAAGGCTTAACCAACCTACTCCAACTCTAGACCTAGTTCCAAGAGATCTATCTAAATACCAACTCTCAATCCAGCCACCTAAATATCTTTACCTTAACCTCACAAATGACGAACAATTGAGGGACTGTCTCAATAGAGCTTGAACAAGAACTGCACGAAAGCCTATCAGGGTCAAACCAAAATCCACTGTTCTAACAAATTCTAAGTTCATTGTTCATTTGTTTGTTTCACATCCATAAAGATGATTCATATATTAGATTTATAATATTATTACACTTGATACAGACCATAATTCATGAAGAACAAGAGAGTAGCAGTTACAATGAACACGAACAACCAACACTGACACGGATCAGGATGCTTCAATGACATACATGAATAATGTTTGTGTTTGGAAGTAAGAGAATTAATGAGAACAAAACCACCACATTTACATGCATCACCTGTATGTGCAGTTAAAACTATGGCCACACTTTTTACAACACGATTTTTCCTAGTTACAATACAAATAGAACCCGAAATTAATGATAACATAGCTATGCTAGAGGACCATAATGAGTTCAAGTTTTGATTTCTATGTTTGCATAGTATAAGTATAGTACACACAGTTACAAGGAATAATGATGCTCTATAATAAACAGGTTTTGTCACAATCCTATGTTTTGAAGGACACTTAGCCAGAGCTATTACGAGATGAAGAACCTTGGTTGTTCATCAGGAAACGAACAACAACACAAGTAATGTTGTCAGAACTACCTCTCTGATACGCTTCTTTCATCAGCCTCTTTGCTGCCACCTCTGCATCCTCGATTGGTTTAATCATAGCAACAGCTTCCTAGAGAAAACCGGAGAAAAAAACAATTCATTTATATCTCTGATTATGAAATTGCACTATATATTTCATCAAAAAGTGAAAATGATAGCAAACCTCGTTAGAGACAACATCCCATAGTCCGTCACTAGCCAATATAAGAAACTCGAGAGAGCTATCAACTTTTTCTTCCTACAAACAATAAATATGTATGCATTGTTAATTGTTATCTTCTCATGCAAGTAACACAATTTCTCTCTGATTTACTGATAGGATGTTTTTCAATGACTGTGAACCGTTATTCTATACTCTCGTGAACCATATACAGAAAAACTTGATGTGAAATTTAAGAAATATGAAATATTCAAGAATGAATGTGTATTAGAAACACACCTGAATTTCTGGATCAGCAACAACATATTGCTTAAGGAGTCTATCACCAAATGCGCGAGAAACAGCAAGAACGCCACCAACTCTCCAAGTTCCTGTAAAGCATAAAGCATGGTTTAGGTTTAGAGTAATCCATAGAGACGAAAAAAATCTATAAATCAAATCACAAGAGCTAACTATAACTTATAAGATGACATTACCAGCCCACATAACGAAACCCCCGGCATCTTCTATCCTTTGCCTCTCATCAGTTTGATCTGGTTTGTGATCTCGGGACACAGCAATTGCTAAAGGAAACAAAAAATAGTAGTAAATTATACTATTTAAGCAGTTAAAACTGAATCAACGCCGTTATATTTCATCCACAAATGATACGAAAATAGTCTTTCAACTTTCATTTAGAATGAAAACATAGGGATGACAATAACATTGTATAAAAGTTTTGGCCATTTGACAACCATAATGATTACGGGTTCTTCGGGTTAGGGTATTAGGAAATTTAAGTTCAAGTGAAACAAGGATATGTTATACGTTGTATGCAACTAATAACTAGTTTACGATACAAGAACATGCAGCTAGCTTCTGGTGCCTTACCATTTCCACCCCTGCAAATAACAGCTCTAGAGTCTCCGACATTTGCAACAAGCAAACGATCACCAACAAGAATGGCAGTGGAAGCAGTAGATCCAGCATCTCTGTTTTGGTTATTTTCTGATTTCAGAAATTCAGAGTCGGTATGCGTATATGCATCAGCTGTGGAAAAAAAATCCGATTTTGCATGAACATTGTTATTCTTCATATTTAGCAAATTGAAGAACACCATTTTAAAGGATCGAACTGGTATGGATAAGAAGCTACAAACCTATTGCAGATTTGGTGTCAGAAATGAACTTTGGGTGACTGATCAAATTGCTAAATAGGTTTTGCTTGACATACTCTGCAGCACGAGCGCCACCGTGACCTGAAAGTTTGAAACAAGAAAGTTGCAGCTACCTTCATTTCGAGTAGATAAAGTATAGTATCAAGCATAGGTTATAAATACTAATCAAGAGTCAATAGTTCTGACAAGCTTAATTGCTAGAATATAATTACTTTCCGATTCCGTATAAATAAAAACACAGAGTAATTGCTCCTATTATAATGAATCAATAAATTGAAGGCTCTTCTTCATCGCAATAAAAGATACATGCAACAGAAAGTATCAGTCAATGGCGAAGGCTCTCAGAATTATGCCCAAAGACAGATCACTTATATTAGATGGGAAACCTCCAAGAGGTAGGGTTCATTTGAAAGTACTTTGGGCGATCAGAACAATCAAAAATCCAAAACCAGATACATACTTCATGAGAGCGTAACAGTAAACAAATCGAAACGTTCCTCTTTATGTGTGTGTGCATGTGCATTTGAGAAAATAAAAGCAAAAGCCTAGAAGTACTGCATAGGGAAAAAGTAAACCACATGGACCAATTAATTTTCCCATATCCCAATAACCTCAAAATGAAAATCCACTGATAGAAACAAATTAGTAAAAAAAGTTAATTGTTCTATGGGGCGATAGCTCATCACGTGTCCGATCAGGCATCAATGTAAAACTACAACCACCCAACCAGTGCCTTAGCTTGGCAACTATGAAACTAAGGAGATAGAGATAGAAGAACTATGTAAATCAATGTACCATCAAAAACTCCAAAAAGACCAACAACTTCACCATCAACGCCATCAATTCTTGTCTCATAAAAATCTTCCATTGAAGATCTCTTGCCTGGGGAGCTAGCATATCCATAGCTGAACTTTCCATTCTGACTGAAGATACAAATCAAAACATAGAAGTATGTCAAAATCAATCCAAAGACTAAATTGGACTAAGAAAATCAACGAAACAAAGATTGATCAGCACAACAACAATATCAACCAAGGCCTAGTAAAAGAATTTTCCAAAAAAAACTCAATAAATTTTGTCTCAGTTCGTGAACTGTGATCAGGCTAGTACAAACTAAGTTGTGAATCTGCAAAGCAACAGAGGGAGCAATAGAAAACCAGAGACATATTTAACATGAAATTTTTCAATACAAAACCTTCCAACTATGAATGACATTAATCAACAACAATAACTATAACTATGGTATTAAATTGCCGGGTGTAGCAACAATTGTAGCCGCAATATAAAGGTTTTGGAAGCCTCATAAACCGTATCATAACCAGAGTCGTCTTAAGTTTTCGGAGGCCTTGTGTAGGTTTATCATAGATAATTGAGAAAAAACAAATAGGGGCCCTCATAAGCCATATCACAAGTCACAACCACAATTGTAACCCCATATCAAGACAAATTATCACAATATCAAAAATCACAACACAAATGGCAACCGCGACAAAAATTTAAAATCTTGAGAATAATCATGGTTTTAAATTGCCATCTGCAACTACAATTGCGGTCGCAATACAAAGTTTTTCAGAAGCCTCGGCAACAACCAAAATTGCAGCTGAATCTATCATCAATTTCCTATCATATCAATTCAATTTTTCACAATCTCACAAATCGCCGCATAACCACAACCACAAAAGGTAACACAACATACAATTACAACCACAATTTAAAACCATTCAAACAAACAAACATTAAAACACAAACAATAAAACAAAACCATTTCATCAAATTTCCAGATCTAAAGAAAAACAGCCATTAACAAACCTGAGCCCTCCACCACTAACAGGTGAATCATCAGCAGCATGAACCTGACTTGAAGAAGACAAAACAGAATTGAGGTAGCCCATATCACAGGTTGAATATTCAAGGTTCTCAGATACAGCTTGTTTAACCAAAAAAACGAAAAGTTGAAGAAGAAACAATAGCAATATTGCGTGCGAAGAGGTTATTCTTGCGTGAAAAAAGGTTCCAAATTATCATAACAATAGTGGGAAAGTGGGGTCGTTTTATGGAATCAGAGACTTTCAAATTTTAATCTGCATAGAAACCCCACAAAGAAAAAAAATTCAGTTAATCCAAAAATAATCAATTTTCTGAAAAAGATTCAAACTTTGGATCACCCAATAGGTAAATATGAAGAAAGATACAAACTTTTTTACATGGGATCTTGTTTTTTTTTTTTTGCATACAAAATTGAAGAAAATTAAGGAGAGAATGTACCTGAGGGAGAGAGGAGAAGAGAAATGCCATGAGAGAGAGAGAGAGAGAGAGAGAGAGAGAGAGAGAGAGAGAGAGAATGGGACAACGTTAGAACAATGAGAAAACAAAAGAGAGTGGGTTTTGTTTCAATTTTGGTTGAAGTCAGCTCATTGTTTTTTGTCTGTTTGATTCAACAACAATTGAGTTTATCACATTCAATCCTGTTTTTAGAAAAATATAATTATTTTGTTAAATTAAAATACTTTAATTATGATGAATGTAATATATGTTAAAAAAAGAAGAAAAAAAAAAGTTTTATACTTGGATGCAAAAATGGTTGAAGACATAAGCATATCAACCACGTGTTCCAACTACTTTTATCATTAAAGGTTCACTAGAGTCATATATTGTTTATTTAGACTTAAATATATTTTTGATTATTTTTTGTTAATTTTTTTAACTTTATAATTCTCCTATAAAAAAAATCAATTAGTAGGTCTTCCAATATCATAAATGGTCGAAGACATAAGCATATCAAAGACATGTTTCAACTACTTTTATCATTAAAGATTTATCAGAGTCATATTGTTTATTTAGCTTTAAATATATTTTTGATTATTTTTTATTGATTTTTTAAACTTTGTAATTCTCCTATAAAAAAATCAACTAGTAGATCCTCCAATATCAAATAACGTGAATTTTTTATGGTCTTTGGACATTTGTCAACTATTTTAATGATATGATATCTCAAGAGTTAGTCACTTGCCACGTCACTAAACTAATTTATAAATTATTTTTATTTTGTAATTTAATACTTTATTTTTCATAAATTCTTTAATTAATTTTGCTAAATCAAAATCAAACTCAAAATCAATTATGTTGATCTTCATCTTATCCTCCCTGATCCATCACCAACTTCATCTTATTCTTTATGAACAAGACGAAGATTCATCTTCATCCCCAATCCATTTTCCAGATTTGACCAAAAATACCTCAAAAACATAAACTTCTAACATAGACTCACTCTGAATCATCCTTCTAAACCTAAATACCACATCGATTTTATCAAAAAATCAGTCAAATGGCCAGATTGAGACACAATCCAAATCCAAAACCATAATCACAAACTTGATAGAAAGCACTAGAAGAGAAATGTCACAATGATCATATTGTTGTTTTAAAGACTAGAGTGAATAATGTAATAGATGCTAAAATAGGAATTAGCGAAGACCTAAATGGCAGTGACAAAATTATCAGCAACAATTACCAAAGAAGAGCTTCACTACTGGATAATTTTAATGATCAAGAAAATGAGTTACATAACACTCCAAGAGTGTCGAGTTATATGGCTCCTACTGAATCAGCAAAAACTAGGCTAATAGGATAAGGCTCCCCTAGATTTGTTACTGATTTTGTAGACAAAAACAATTTAACTAGGAGGCATTCACTTTCATCCTCGTTTAACAGCAAGTCATGTTTATTTTCCCCGAGAGCAGAAAAGCTGGTAAATTTGAGCAACAGAGGAGTTGCGAGCAGTGATAAATCTCGGTCATCTTCAAGGGATGGCACTAGTAAGCGTTTAAAACTTTCACTATCTCTCTAACCCTTTTTCGTGGAGTGTGATTAAGAATATTGTTACAGAGATTAACTTGTTTGGGGTATGACTTGCTTTTCTGGGTGTGGCTTATTCTAATCACTCGAAGTTGCAGACGCTGAAGGAGAAAGAGACGCAAAAGAAATCTTCCCAAGGTGATGAGGAAGCTGGAAGGTTGTTTGAGGATATGGAAGGTGATAGGTCAGGGAGGAGGAATTATCAGCATAATTGATTTTGAGTTTGATTTTGATTTAGCATAATTAATTAAAAAGTTTGTGAAAAATTATTAATTTACAAAATAAAAATGATTAATGAATTCATTTTAATGGCGTGGCAAGTGAGTGGTCAACTCTTGGGATGCCATGTCATTAAAATAGTTGACAAATGGTCAGGGACCATCAAAAGTTCACGTTATTTGATATTGGAGGACCTAATAGTTAGTTTTTTATAGGGGGGACTAAACAGTTAAAAAAAATCAATAAAAGGGGACCAAAAGTGTATTTAAGCCTTTAATTCATCTTAAAAAGAACATATAAAAAATTCTCAATTTATTTTATATTGAAAAGAGATAAATATATGATTAATACAATAGATTTAATCTATTAATTTAAATAAGAGAGAAAAAAAATAAGAAATAGAATAAAAAAAGTTGTTTAATTTTGAAAATACTGAAATGTTTTATACTAAAATATGCAATTTTAGTATTATAGTAATTTAATTTTAAATATAAATTAATTTAGTTTTTTTATTATTTTAATTTATAAGTTAAGTTAATTATTATTACTGTTCTGGACTGGCCCAATAGTTTGAATTGGTCCAATCCGCTTATACCCTTGGCACGATTCAATAACACTGGTTCAGCATCTCTGGTCGACCACACCCTCAAGAGACGCGACCAACGATGCCTGTTACACACACATACCCAAGTCAGCAGTCATCTCTCCGTCTGCCTGACACGAGTCAAACAGGAAATCAGGAAACGTCCAGAATGCCTCGCAGCCTGTGATTCGCCTCATCTTCAGTACAACGGCTAGTTACAGGCGGGACTGCTCGTTTTGACCAAGTCTTGGCAGTTACCTATTTTCACAAGCCCGCATATCTAGGCCCAAAAATAGGGACCAATGGCCAAGCGTCGGGGGAATTATATAAACCCTCACACATGTGAGGGCCACATATCCAATATTCAAACCTTAAACCCTAATATCTTGCTGGTATCTTTTTGCTTCATTCTTACTTGATCGTCGGAGTGCCTTACAGGTACAACCCCACTTTCTCCTCAATTTTCCAGTAAACCAGACGTCATCCTTTAGCCCATTTGTAGGTTCTAATCAACCGGTAAGATCAGTGGCACCATCTAGGGGAACCTATCTTCCCCGCTTTCCTTTTTCTCAAAACCAAAGACCAAAGATATCTTCACTACTATAATCATGTCCGACCACGACGATCATCACCTCCCTGGAAAGACTGTACTCTCTTAGGTCCACAATACCGTCGGAAGCCAGGAGCATCCTCACCTTGAGGATGACCTCGACATCAGAGCTGGACAGACTGGGTCCCCAGATTCAGTCGATGCTGAGTGCGGCAACCTTTAGTTCTTGGAAGAGAAGAGGCCCGAGAACCCTACCGAGGAACTTCTAGAGATCCTACAACCAGTTCCTAATCCTCAGAATACCGATTTGGCCATGGCAGCATTGCTCGCTACCCTTAACTAGACCAATGCCCTTATCCTGCAGCTAAGCAAGAGGATGGGGGCCTGGGAGAAAAAGCAGTCAAAATCTCCTCATCTGAGACACCGACATACAACTCCCCCAACCTATCTCCATCTAGGCGTGGTCGTCCATCAAGAAAGGGAAAGAATGATGTTTCTTTCCTTAATAAACATGACTGCACGCCTCTTAAGAAAGATCAAGGCTCTCCATCTTCCAAGAAGACAAAGAGCGACTGCCGACTTGACTGCTACCGATCACCGTCGCCCAAGCCAAGGCAGCAGCAAAGAAGTATATCCCGCTTCGGAACAACGACGCCCGATGAGGGAGGAAAAATCACTCCCCGCCATCTTCCGAGGGAAGCGACAACGATGAGCCACGAGGCCCGTTATCAAGAGAGATTACAGAGACCCAGCTCCTAGTCGGACTGGAGAAGCCACCCCCACTGGGAACATACGATAGTACAACTGATCTTGATGAACACATAGAAAATATTGACGCTCTGCTCGACTACTGATGAGTTAGAGACGCCATCAAGTGTAGGTTGTTTCCAAATACCCTAAGGAAAGGTGCCATGTCTTGATACAAAAGTCTTCTAGACGAATCTATAACCTCTTGGAAGTAACTGGAGAAAATGTTCTCAAGGCACTTCACAACATCTCACCGACATCCCAAGTCAGACGCATCACTAGAAGCAATCATCCAAGGGAGGGATGAGTCTCTTCGGGCTTATATTGAGTGCTTCAATAAGGAAGTCGTGCAGGTCTCTATGAATGACGGTAGGAAAAAATATCTCCTCTAGCACGGGCTCCATCCCTGCAGTGACTTCGCCAAAGTTGTTGGCCTCGAGACTCCAACCATGCTCGACTCCCTCCTACTTAAATCCCAAGCGTACATCCAATATGAAGAGAAGGAGGCAGCTAACAATGCAAGGGACTCGTGGCATATGGAGAATTCCAAGGTCTCGAAGAATGATGAGCCCTCTACATCCCGTAGGTGAGAGAGAAGAAAAGGGAAGATAAGTCCCGAGACTCTAAAGACTACTGGGGGCCACTTGGTTGCTTTCACGACTAAACCCCCTCAACGCCTCTCACAAGCATATTCTGATAGAATGCGCCAATTCAGAATACAAGCAAGTCGGGGTATGCTTTCCCCACCAAACATTGTCCAAGACTGGGACAGGCAAAAGCAAATATTATAGGTTCCACAAGAGCCACGAGCACAACACTGACGATTGCATCCACCTAAAAGATGAAATTAAGATACCCATCTGGAACGAGCATCTCAAACAATACAAGAAGAAGGAGAATGCATGTGAAGAGGCTCAAGAATCCAAAAATGTAGAAGAATGGAAGGAGTCCCCCGACACACGCCTCATCCAGTTTACTATGAGCATCACAAGACCAGAGGATTTCTATTTTCCCGACATGTAAGAGGTCCCTTTATACTTCTTTTCACATAGTCCTTGCGAATCCTTCCCAGCGACAATGGTCATCTCCGGCAGAGGATTCAACAAATGCACGATGGGTTCGGTAAAGAGGAGGCTTATATCCCTTTGCATTTTACTGAGAAGAGATACCGGGTGGAGCCCCTATTTCAAGCATCCCAATACTTGTACGGGAACGCATGATGAACTTTGACGTTCGACGCATCTTGGTGGATCAGGGAAGCTCGATGGATATAATGTACACCAAGCTATTCAGCACTATGCATCTGAATGAGACCCATCTAACCTCATACGTAGGCTCATATCTCCAGGGGTTCAACGGATCCGTCACCAAACCCTGGGGATACGTCGAGATGATTGTTACCTTCGGGATGGGTGTAACGGCCAGGGCCATCGGGACCCAATTTCTAGTGGTGGATTGTTCGTCACTCTATGAGTACATCTTCGAAAGACCCACTTTAGTCGAGCTGATTGCGATGCCCTTCATTGTACATATAAAGATGAAGTATTACACCACTAAAGGTTTGGTCGCCACCCTCCACGGGG